CTTTACATCTGGCTTCCCCGTCGTAAACAAGTCTTCGATCTCCTCTGTACCAGCTCCTTAAAGAGATACGTAAGAACCATACAAACATTTTCCAAGAGTTTCTGATAAATCTGAGGCCCATTCTTGAGTCCAAATAGCATCTGCAGCCATTCGAATAAACCCAGTGGGGTGACAAAAGCCGAGATACTTCTCGCCCTTTTGGTCATGTCGACGACCCAGAATCCCTTTGTTATACCCAGGGAGTAGTACCATAACGGTTTGTTCAGACCCTCCACCAATTTATTAATTAGAGGCATAGGGTAGACCATAAGCTGTGTCAAGTCGTCACCAACCGATAATCAATACAAAGCCTGATATACACCCCAATTTTTCTTCAAAATAATGACGATTGGTCTGGCCCATGGAGAGGTAGAGGGCTGAATGATCTTCGCAGACAATGGTCCCTCGATCAGATCTGCCGACTTTGCTTGGACTTGGGGCCACCTTCCGTACACGTTGTGTAATCAGCCTGGCATCACCTACATTAATGTCACAGATATCTCCTCGAGCAGCCGGTGGTAAGGCGTTACCCTTACCCATGAGTATATGTCGTCTTCTCCATATAATTTGTCTCAGTCGGTTCACCTCCTCTGGGGTGTTTCCGTCAGAGTCAGGAATCTGTATATCTTTAGCTTGATACTCGTGGGTTAAAGGTCTACCTCTGGTATGATAGCCCAACCTTGGCTCACATCCTCGGCCCAAAGATCCCCACTTTAGAACGTGCACACTTGATCATCCGCTTGCGGCAAATCTGACAGCGGCCCCTCACCTTCTCCCATCTGGTCGACCTGGTCGACCTGGTCTAGAGGGTCAACCTGGTCGACCTGAGGGTCTGCCTCATCGACTTGGGGTCTACTTGATCGACCTTCGGCTGGAATGCCATAGTCATTACTGGAACAAGTTCCCTTGGTCGCTGAAGTATTCTAGATGGAGTACTGTACTGTAGTACCTCCACCGATGGTCCTTCATCCATCCTCGTTAGGCCTCCTGGTAGTCGGCCTGGTCGGTGGTAGATTCATAAACCAGGTTTAGCCACTCAGCATATCTTTGAGACCCCACCGACACAAAACCCTACGCCCTTGGTACTTGGTACTTCGTCAGCCACATGCCTATCTTGGCGTCCTCGTGTAATATCAGGGGTTGGGCACTGACATTGGTTACCTTCAGGAACTTCCGACTTCCTAATACTTGGCTCACAGTCATGTTCCATTGTTCTCCCCTTGTCACCCACAACTTCCATTCTTGCGAGGTCGACCTTTTTAGAGTCAATTCTTCTACCTTCCGGCCTGTATCTGCCCTTATCGACCCAGCTTCACGTCTGATACCCGGTTATCGTAAAGGGTCCTTCGTCCTGCTAACTGGACTCGAACCTCATCGGGCAGACATAGTGTCCCATCATCCAGATCCAGTCAAATACTGGCTATGACCATAAAGTCCATGCCTACAATCGCATCTTGACCCGCCATTTAGCCCACCCACACCTTAAATATGTATACCAAGTTCCTGTTCAGAGTGACCTTGATGCGGGTGTGTCCTTCCGTAGTATACACGGATTCCCCGATACCAACACATTCTTGGCGCTCACCTTCATCAATCTGGCAGCTTATCTTACGAGCAAAAGCGACATCCAAATAGATATCTCGGCGCCAGTATCAAACAAAAAGTTAGCTCGATCGTTGTTAATCTTCCCAGAAGCCTTGGCCTGTCCGAACCACTTCGTAGGCGCATGGTATTTCCAATACCCCCTCGACTCGCCCGGCAGTAGGTCCAACTCCATCACTGCACTTTCTCAAACGAAATCGTTGGATTCACTGGAAGAAGCAACATGGACCCTAGGGTAAGTTTCAAACTTCGATATACTTCCCATTGAGTTATTCTGAATGCCCTTTACTCCCTTGGGCTGCTTTTCCACATATGCAAAAATGCAACAATTAGAACACTCAGCTCGTACCAGATTCAAACCTGGCGAGCTTCCTAATTTAGCATCTGCTCGACCTTCTCCGGCAACATCCCAGCGTGCTTAGTCGGGATCAAGTTATAACACTCTTCCATCGAGCACTTTCCAACATCGTGGGTTTTTCCACATCCTCGATACACGCACAGGCAACGATCTGATCGATGACCCTTCTTTCCACAGGGATCACAGGTCAGCCTCTTCCAACAACCCAAGTCTCCATGCTTCCTGGACCCACAAAAAATGGTCACACCTTGCACTTGGGGTTGCCGTCGCCGTGTGGGGTCCAAGGTCCTTGGTCGAGGTCGGGGCTGGTCAAACTCTCTGACAGGTTGGTCCCTTGGGGTCCTTGACCCTTGGTCCTTCTCCATTCCGTAGTCATGAGGTAGATCTTCCGTAGGTCACCGTTAGTGTACGAACTATCCAAACTGTAGTCTTTGGAGCTCAACCCCTCTTGGGTTGCTCGAACTGAGTGAACAGAGCGTCGGCCCAGCTCTTGTGGCCGATCAGGAGAAATCGGTGCTTTCTAGCGCAACTTTCCTGACCCAAGCAACATCTTGCTTCGTCGAAACTTCGTCCGTTGACTCGCCCTTAGTACATCCTCCAGCTCTTCCACATCAGCCAAACGTAACACGGTCAACTGTTCCGCCAGGTCGGGGTCGTCCAAGGTCTCAATGTAGTGCTAGAAATGTTCCTTTTGAATCTAGTTGACCGAGGGGCCACCTACTAGCCTACCGAGTAAAGCATACCCACTCGAGGCACCCCAAGATCAACCTCTCTCAAGGCCGACATCACATCTCAACCAAGTCCTTTGAAGAGTGCAACTTCCGCCGACGGGTACACAAGGTGAGAGAAGGTCTATACGCGGAATCGGGGTACCCCCTCCGACATTCAGCAGTCCGGCACAGTATGTGGCTTGGGGTCTCATTACGCAGTTTTGAGAACCCACAACACCACAATGGTGCACGTGCCCGGATCTTCAGAAGACGCGAGGTATCACCACGAGTCCCAAGACGATGAGATGTTCAAGCAAAGATTGAGGAAAAGACCGAAGAGTTACTGTAAGGATGATCGCCAGTGACTACACAAGAAAACAACTAAGGATCTTAGGACCGACCAGACCTCTGGAGGGTCCGGTCAATATGGTCAAGGTTGAATTTATTGAAGAAAAACCGACTTACCATTAGGGACAAGAATAGGGAGCAACTTTTGCAAACCTTTCTGTTGTGCCTGTGACTGGCCAACCGCGGACATCTCTTCAATGTCCATTCTCACACAGAGTAGTAGTCGCAAACTCAGGTGCGGGATTGACTACAAGTGCTACCAGGTATAGAAGGGTTACTACAGCAAAGCTGCTTATGCACTAAGTGCAGAGGAAGACTAGCTCCGAGAGCTGTGTGTCTTAGATATCTTGACCCTCCCAAAGCTAGCTTCACAAGCTTATACCTTTTTGGTTGTAAACAAACACGTCTCCAAGAGACCAATATTAAAGGCACAACTTCCTTTTACAAGGTCTAATGCGCTTTAAACAAGTGCTGTACAGCAGGTTTCAAACTGATTTCCTGAACGTTTATTTTCTAGCACTAAATAGAGAAGCACTTACTCTATACTTAGTGCAAGTCACTATTTACCTGGCTCTGTAGCCTTCAAATGTCTAAACATTTGTAATTGTAGTACTTAACCCAAGTATAATGATTGATACATGGCTCTCTGCCGACAATGTGAACTTTCTTACCTTAGCTACGGTCACATCAATCCTAAAGTACAGCCACGCCACAATGGTGTGGCAGGTGTGTATCTTACAAAACACCTTTATGTAACCCGATTGAATTGCCACCAACACTAATATACTTTTCATTAATTCGATAACATCTAAATACACTGCTATAAATCCAGGTCTTTATCTAGTAGCCACATGGTCGATCGAAGTAAACCTAAAGCTAGTAGAATTGTCGGAGCAATTCTACTAGCTAGTGATGGTAATATTAATAATGATAACACGTCATGGTGCGACTTCGTGACTATAAAGCTGCGCGCGTCGAGCCTCACCAAACTGCTCTCTGGGGAACATATCATAAAGTATAACTTCGGCAAAACTCCTCTTGTGGATAAGCGGCAAGTCAGATGTCTTACAAGCTTATCGAGTAAGTAATCGACGTGGCTATCAGGGTCTTTGTTCGTACGGTCTACTTCTGATCGCTGCTCCAGCTGCTAGTGTCCCATCGCCACCTGATCCTCTTCATGTTGTTCATTCTCGGACGATAGTATAGGTCATCGGCATTCTTTGCAACGCGCACTAAATTTAAACGCACGTAGCACAAATAATTTGTCTACTCGTTGCATTGTATTGTAGTAAATCAATATTATGTGCAGAGCGATCATCTTCGTGTCATGGTTTCTTAACAATTCTCATAAAATGTAAATGAAACATCAATATTAGGATTCCTTGACCACTGCTTAGTAATGGCTTACAACGGCATATTCGTGCAGACGTCTCTCAAATCCATTGACTCACGAAGCTATCATGCGTTTACTCATAATCTCATTGACGTTGACATGTAAATGGCCTCTGACAGTAAAAAAAAATAACCTCACAGCATCGTGACTTCTAAACGTAAGAAAAAGCGGATAGCAATCAACGACACACCAACTTTAAGCATCGAACTTGCTGAGACGCATGAAAAAAATTGAGTTACTGCGAATGCACGACGCGTTCGAAAGCCCATTAGTTGCTCTTTCCAGTTTGTGACTTTACATTGAGTCGTAAGTAATGCACTAATTATCTATCATTCGAATATATATTAAGTATTAAAATTTGAAAACAATTGTACAGTTCCTCAATCAGTTTTCCGATAGTTTCTGTCATACGTTCTCACAGGGATAAGCCACACGCTTCATTCCAAAACTGGCTGGATTGGGACTCAGGTCAAGTCGCCACTCTTGCTCGTGCTCTTCCAGCGCGCTTGACTCCTATATCGCCAACCTCGTCATCCACATCTCTTCAGTTATGGGTGATCGGTACCGTAGTGCACAGTCACCACGAAACAGCAGTGGTGGTGTATCCGATGAGCGCTTTAGTAAGCTCGTGTCAGAGACCAGCAAGGGCATCTCAAGTTTTAACCAGCTCACACGTAGCATTGCACAGAAAATGTCGTTGTTTGGTACACCACAAGACTCACGTGCAAATCATGCGCAGATCAAGGATCTTACGGAGAAGGGAAATAAAATTGTGGCCAAAATCAATCGCCGACTGCAGGAGCTTAGCCGTGGTGCGAAAGGCCCCAACAGCCGCACAAGACGTACGCAGGTCAATAAGCTTTCCGCCGATTTTAAGAATCAGGCGCGCGTATTTGAGGAAACTTGTGAACGGTTAATGGAGTCAGAGCGACAGTCGGTCGAGTTTATCCGTCGCTCGTCGCAGAGTTTTAAGGGCGGAGATGGAGGCGGAGGGTTCACTAACTATAGTGAAGACCAGATTTATGCACAAGCTAATGTGGTCATTTACGACGAAGACGGTATTGTTGCTAAATTTTTGTGTTTATGTAGTGGAGTCAGTGAGACTGATAAATTGACATTTGTATTTTGGTGGATGGATATGTAGATTTACAGCGGAGAGAAGATGACATCATTCAAATCAACCACCAGCTGCGGGAGGTGAATGCAGCTTTTCAAGAGATCGACGGACTTGTGCAAGATCAAGGAGAAATGGTGGTCGAGGTTGTGGACAATACCGAAACGGCCAAAGAAAACGTGGAGAAGGCACTGGTTGAGGTGCGACAGGCAGAGGAGCGAAGGAATTGCTGTGCTTGCTCACGGATGAAGCTAATTTTCATCGTCATCCTCGCGCTCCTCGTCTTTATTGCTTTGATAGGAATTGTTTCTACCGCCAAGTAAACCAGCACTTAGGACGGGATTTAGGAAGCTCGTCATTTGATTAGTCTGGATTCATCTAGTGGATCTGTGAGGCTACGGAGAAACCAACGGTTAGCAGCTACAAGGATAAAAAGTGAAAGCTGTTATAGCCTAAATCATATGTGGGTTTTGCAGCTTTGTAACAATGGACAATGATTTTCGAGTTGCTTAGAGCAACAACAATGGATGCGGTTGAACGAACAAACGCATTTCTGTTGTTTTGGTGCATTAGGTCGCGCGCCGTCAGCGGTGTGATTCCCAAACATACCGTCCATTGACTTGAACATGCTGTCAATAGAGTCGCTACAACTTTGTCGTAAAGCTGACGTCTTATCGTCATTGACGCGCTCAAACTTTGATCTCAACAGTGCTTTGAAATGACGTATCTTGCTCAAAATAATCAAACCCAAACTCCGCAGCAGATTGACTCTTTTGCAATGACTTTCTTGATGGCGTTGTAGCAGACTCGAGGTTTGTCATAAAAATATCGTGCTGCATGCACGCGATGAGGACTTCCACTCATGGCCAGCATAATTTACGCAAAATTCCGTCATGTCGATACTGAAGCTGGCTCACTAAGTACCGCTGAGAAATGTCATCTCGCCTAGTGGTCTTCCTGTAGCACATCTGAATACGACCCCAACCGTTGAGGTTTCGGCATCTTGACATTGTCGTCTTTTGGAGAGGCAGGTTTAGTTCCTCTACATATAAAACAAGGTCTGATCAAAATACATGCCATCTCTTAGCTAATAACATTTACCATGATGTCTTTTAGTATATTGCTTGACCTTCTGCAAGATTTAAGCGCTTCGTTGAGCTTGGGCAACAGTCGTCTATAGCCCTACTGAGAGATGAAAGTTCATCTACGCGTTCGGTGTATTCCGCCACACCAATATAAATACTTCGCTGAATGGAGACAGCCTAGTGGCAGCGCAGCGCTCCACTTAAAAGCACCTATCGGCCTAGTGGTGGCTCATATCTGCGACGAAAAGTCAAGGCGTAGTCGAGTGATGCCATTGCTAGCGTGATAGCGACGTACTGAAAAGAACGCGCTTACAGTTCAGTAATGCTTTGTCGTCTTAATAATGTTGAGCAAGGTATGATTGAGATGGTGCTCGAGCAACCGTTTAGTGGCCGCACGTCAACATGGGCGCCCATGACCGAACTTGGAGGAGAAACTGCGAGCGTGCATGATCTGATCACACACAAAGACCATGAGAAAAAAATCTCGTCAGGCTGCGTACAATTTCAATGACACGGACGGAGTGTGCGACGTTCTGAGACAGCGTGTGCTTGAGCCAGCATGCTGCGGCACGATGAAAACGACATGGCGGCTGAAAGTGAGAAGGTTTCCAGACAAACTCTCATGAACCCAAGAAACGATGTTTTTGATTGCACGTGGATAGGGAGGAGAAAAGCATCTTGAGGAAAGCTGCCGGCAGCAGTTGAGCTCCTGGGAACATCAAACTGGTAAAGTAGATCGTGAGCCGTTGTAAAATATACACCAGTGTAAACGGCTTTGCGGTTGAGACAGGGCCTCTTGTCGAAGTGGGGGGTTGCTAACACAATCCGAAATGCACACATTGCAATTGACCGTATGTGATGATATTAGGAGATAACTTTCTTTGACCCGTCTTTGATCTATCTCCCATAGACTCGTCACAGTTGGCAAGTGTTGTCACCAAGCTGTGCAATCAGTATTGAGTTTTGCTCACTCGTCGGCTTATTGTTGCAAGCCAAGAAAGACTCTTCATAGTTGAAGAAAAGTTAGTCGCATTTTGCGCACTGAAAAAGGCTACGAAGTCTTGAGCAATCGACTTATCATTAAGTTTTGTAAGGAAGCAAACAACTTGTTAAAGCCCGCGATTTTGTGCATTTCGACTACCAGCAATCTGCTCTTGCCAAAATAATAGCCACGGACTCTCGTCTACCTCACGCTAGCAGCAGGAACGAGTAGCGTTCGTTTATATTTACAATTCTACCCTTTGCTGCATACATACACATTCAGCATGTTTACTTCTAGCTAACAACTCGTATAAAATACTGCCTCAAGACTGACGAAGTTTCTCATTACAGAACGAGCAACTCAGACTGAAATATGTGGTTTCTCCGGTCGTTCAGGCATCAAAGATAAAGAAATGGTTGACGAAAGCCTTGAATGATCGAGCATCATCTGCATTAAGTCTTTGTAAATCTAGTGATCCTTGTTGTATACGTCGTGTCTTCCATTGTGTCTACTCAACCCACATAGTACATGCGCGATCCCATATGGCGCATCTGTCTTTAGCGTCATCCGCTGGAACGCAAGAATAATCATTTTGTTTTTGCTGCGGGCTGTCTCTGCCCATCCATCTTCCATGAGATGGGCAGATCAGATCATTCTCATAATGTATCTAACCAACTTGGTGAGCAATGCAAGCAGAATAAAATTTGCTGTATTCAAACTGGCACGCATCTTGTAACTGTGGCTAAGCATTGTAATTTCTCCTGCATACACACACAATACTTTTAAACTTATATCACAACAGTGATGTCTTCTCAATTATATATACAATCAGAGCCCATGGTTGAAAGTACATAATTAAATAGGGCTGAATCAGAGAATCTATAGCTGGAGCGATAGCGATGTTTATGTAGCAGAAATTTCCTGAGTCCCCTATGGGTCGTAACCGGGTAAATTGTGTACCGCAGCCTTGCAGTGTACCATATTCTTTTTCGTTAAAAGAACCACAAGAGTCGTTGTTGTGGGTCGATCAATTGGTAGCTTGAGGGGCAACTTGCTGTGTAATTGGCTAAACAAACAGTGCCTATTCGCCATCGTGCGTCAAAAGGCGACAACATAATTTGACAGCTCATATCACGTCAAGAATGAGTAATGCGTTGCCACACAGGTTGACAGGTATTTTTTGTATTTCAGCTATACAAGCAGCAATAGCTGCTGCATTTGCCATCACGTCTCGCATTCCAAACTAGCAATGTAGCTTAGTGTCCCTTAGTGTCCAACTAAGATGTGCCGTTATATGTCAACCAGATGCGAAATTCACCGAAATCTAGAGCGTCTTTTCCAAAACATAAATGGCTTACATTTCAAATAGAAAAAGCGTCATTCATTTCGTTGGTATGCCTTGGGTCAAAACATGGGCGAAACATGTTTCACCCTCCGGACAATAACTTGTGAGGCGAGCGTTCATCAACTCGATCCTACAGCCAGTTATTGACGTTATAAAGTCTCTATAACTAGAATTGCTTGAAAAATCGTCACACATATGTGTAGCCATTGTTGTTGCTAGTGCTGCAAAAGGAGTTACTGCACGCGAAAATGTGTTTGACGACTATTCTGATGCTTGACAGCTTTTTTTCCGGCTATCGAGTAGAGATTGTTGTTGTTTGTTGTGTATGCATTAGTAATCTCATACCTTTAACCATTTCCGTTCTGTAGGCAAGTGCAGTCCGAAGCAATCAGAGTTAAGCCTTAAAGCTATATGCATCGATATTTCAGAAGCTTTGCTATTGCATGACACAGATCAAACTGTTCAATCTCGACAATGGTAGCAGAAATGTCACCTCGACACCCATTGGACATGACTGCTAAAATTACATAACATGTACTACATCAATAAAAGTTCTGCAGCGAAATGTTGAGAATTGATTCCATGAACGTTGTAAGTTTCGACAAGTTTACAGGTTCGTGCAAGCTTTTTTTCCGTTTTATTTTGTACATAAACACGACACTTTTTGGTTACTGCTGCGTGTCCATGCAGCGGCATACTGTCTGGAGGGCGGACTATCATGCGTGTAGAGTGTACCTATTTACAACGCACGAGAGTAGACGTATTCATTCGATGATACAGGATAATGCCAAGCTTTGTGTTGTTCAATTTAAACAACTTGCGGAAAGGGAAGGGCTGACAACATTTGTATCGCTCGTGAAGATTGCTTCTTTCCGTAGCTGAGACAACATATTTATTGCATTGCGATAACCAATAGATTACAGCACACATCTTATGGAAACTTAAGCATTGTAGTACCGATCACCTAAATCTGGCGAGTTATCTGCTTTCAAAATACCAGCGGACTCTCATTGTTGAGTGGATGATTGGCCGACTTGTACGTAAACTACAACAATTTGAATGTAGTAGTGCAACAGCCAGGTTCTCGGACTATGACACTCAGCTTAGATTACGTCTTTATAGTAATTTAACCGCCGCTAGCCGCAATCTAGCAGCTATTTTATATAGCCCTTTATTCATGCAGTGATACTAGTGCACATCTTATTCTGTTGATTAGCAGCAACACCATCATAACGATATTTCCTACTTGAAGCCAAAATTTGCACCAAATTTGTGCTACAGTCTTTGCCTCGCCATTGCACGGCAGCATGGGTTTATCAGCAAGGTCTATTCCAGATGCTTTGCAGCAGATTGGAAGTCACAGAGTTACAATGACTGGTCTTTAAAACCGTTCCTAACGGCACGAAAAACCGCAGGGTCAACTAATAACTGTATGTTGCGTCATCAATGAACGTCATCTGTCGGGTCACAAATTGGAATCATACATTAAGAAGGTATTATGTGTATAGAAATGATATTATTTGTTAGCGATCATAAACTACTCTTGAGGTTACGGGCTGCCGTTTTGGCGCAATAAATTAAGCAAGAAGCAGGTCAATGGACTCCTGCACGTCTTGTCGGTAGTCTTCGTTGGCCAATACTTCCTCGTAGGATACGCCCAATGTGAACGGCAGTGGCTCCATATCACAGAGTAGAGTTTCCATACTGAAATCAACGTCCATATCTAAGCTACTACAGCAGCTCCCGCCATCGCTTGCCACAGGGCTGCAGCTACCCGCGAGATGCTGTCCAAAGCCACAGCTCAGCGGAGACATGGCACCAACAGGAAATGCTGATGGGGAGCGAGGTGAGCCCTGCACGGCAAAATTCTTGACACGCTGAATGCAACCCGTAGCATGGGCGTCCACCCGGTGCTCGGGGCGCACGAATTTCTTTTTCTGTTTTCGAAGACCACGACGTCGACGGTTGATCTTTTGCTGGTACTTTTGAGCATGCGTCTGTACCTGCTTGATCGACCGCGTACCAATGAAGGCAGCAATCGAGCGCCATGGTCCCGTCGGGAACATTTTCATGGCATGTAGGAACTGTTCATGCTCTTGCTCCGACCATAGACCGCGAGTAACAGGCGTTGGTGGTGCAGATGTGGTGGTAATTGTGCTGTCTTCGTGCGTGTTCATTGGGATCATGATCAAGATAGGAATTGATGTTATAATTGTTGTGCTTATGCTGCAGAGTGCGCGGGTGGAGTAAAATTAGGAAATGAAGCATTGATTGATGTGATTAGGCCGGGGGCACTTTTTTAAGTTTGCTTCTTCTTGACACGCTTTATGGCTCCTCTGCGTGCGAAAAGGGGGGGATGGGCACCTCCGCCCGGAGTTAGGGGTAATTTATGGCTCTGAGCGGTTCTCAATGAAAAGATTGACCAATGGCAGCTGGGTATCCTACCGGCTCGTCTGTTCAGTTCCGGTACAGTACACCGTGGTATCTCAGATAGCATATAAATTACCATCCGTAATTTAAAACCTGCTGCGCCGAACAAGCTCTGACCATATGCGTGTTCCGCGACCAGCTGCTCGTTCATACGAGTATGTATGATATTCATGACGCTTTAACGCTGAAAACAGTGTTTTCTGACCGTCGAGCATATAGTAATTGTAGGTTCAGGCGACTCGCAGCAATGCGCCAAATCGTTGCGCGTTAGATGCAGGCTATCCAGCTGTATTGTTGTGGACATGTTTGACTGAAGCTTTTAGCAAAGTAAACTTGTCGTATCATTATCTACTGTTTCATCTCAACTCGGCTGTCAGTTAAAGAGCGCTCAAACACGCCGCGAAAAAACTGCCAACGCCAACTCGATTAGCATTTCGGCAGGTTCTCCGCTCAATCACGGACAAGATCGCAGCAATTAAAATAGCTTATCCATACGTCCAGATTTGGCTGGTCTGCTATTGCGTCGGATGTCCTGCGCGCGCCTGTTTGCATTGAGATCACTTTTGTATGCAAGCACGAATCACAGCAGCATACGATCGTCGGCAGATACTCAAAAACTTGGGTCAGATTGATTGTTAATGGTCTACCTAATCGAATAGACAGAAGCAATGTATTGGGCTGTACTATCGCATTTGTTGTCTCTTGGTCTGAGCCGTGCCTTGTCCTATACAGTTTGATGCGACCGCGTCGCGGCAGTTGCTGGCGGTGGAAGCGCTAGGAATAAATGTAAGTTGCTCTGCTGTGACCATAACCTTCGAAAACCAATCGCAGCACAATTTTGCAAAGAAATAAATTACTTCGCAAGTCTTGCTTCTGTCATTTCTGCGACATATTTATGCCGTGTCAGGGTCGCGCTGCTGGCGATGATACTGCTTCCAGAAAATATCTTTCGATCAGAGTGTCCGTACGCTGAAACAGAAGGTCGCCGATGTTAAAGTCGCCTTCTTTTATAACAGCAGCTGGATCAGCCAACGGCAGCACCACCGGTGCCAATATATATATATATATATGCAAAATAGAGCAGTAGAATGAAAAAACTGTGTCAGAGCTGCTCAGCATGCGACCATGGCAATGCGATGGTCCTTCGGGTGGCTTCCTGTCGCAGTCTCTTCTTTTTCCACCTTTCGCTTGCGCCGGGCTCGCAATGCAAGTCGCATCAGTTTGCATGGGCTCGATTGCTGACTCCGCTCGTTAAACGATTGTATATGAGACATCAATCGCCGCTTCCACTACAGGCTGCATTCCTTCTGATGGTGTGATGAGGGCGGGACATCTTGTATGGGAAGCACGGTTGTAGCCGTGTTGCGACGCTCGCCGGTTCTTTCAGGAGAATTACACTCGCAAGAATACGGGAGCTCTAGCTAGTCTTTTGTTGCGTAAACTTCTGTCCTTTTTGAATGGATACGGCTGCGTGTATGACCCAGCACGATACAACTATCCGCGGGTAAAAGCATTGCTAGCACGAGGATTGGGCTCGTGGTATAACTTAACTCTTAAGCTGTTGCAGGAAATAGTTAGTTAATTGAGGACAAAAAGCACTTCAACTAGACGTGCAAATGTGAACCTAGCACCAAAAGCGGGGATGGGGTGACAAGGCAATGTCGAGACTTGTTTGGATTTGTCTCCGGGATGAGGCCTTACCGAACTTTCGTCAACGTTCATCAGCAATTGCCAACCGTGGGTGCGTGTATTTTAAAAGAAATATTTTTGGTATCAGCGTATAGCAGTGTCATCATTTGCTCATCACCAGGGAGGACCAAATCTTTTTTGTGGACACGGCGGGATTCGAGAAGCTCAATTGCTGATAGTGATATCCCTGCCGCTGACAATCAACTGAGTTACGAATACATCCAGGTATTGCCGCAATCACTGGGTTTCTTGGCCTCGTGTCGGCCTCATCTGGTGTCGCATGTGACAAGTACTTGCCATGAATAGATGCGATTGTGCTGGTAATTGCATTATCCTTACACGCGCCAAATGTTTCAAGTGGGGAAACACTAGGGCTCCGATAAGTCTTGTTGTCTCACTTCATATAGGTCTCAGTTGGAAACGCAGTGCTGTAAAATCTAAAGTTATCTGCAACAATAGCGTCGGTGAGAAGCTTTAGAGGCGACGCAATGCTGTAAAATCTAAAAGTATCTGCAATAGCAGCGATGGGTGTACCAGAATCAATTGGAATGTAGGACGTTGCTGCTGAGAAGGTGTGTGATGAACATGTACAAAGACGACGAGTACTTTAGGCTCCGTTACATATTCTCTGTCCTAACTCAGGCTCCATTACACGATGCAGTGTAGTCGGATGCTTTTGCCGTAAACCATTGACCGACGACGAGACTGCAGGGCTGCCACAACAGAGAACAAGATTACAAACAAGTTTGTCGCGGCGCTGCGTGGGCCAGCTTTTAGTGTCAACTGAGCTTTGTTGTATGTCATATATCATTTAGCTGAGGTGCAACAGAGTTTCAACTAGGTATTACATCATTACTAAGTCGCTTGAGATAGAAAAAAAGGCTACAGAGTCTCTTTATCTCCCAACGCACACACAGCACAGAGCTTAGTAAAGTCACTTATGCCACAGATTTTCGCTTCTGCTTAAGTGGTGATTCTTTCTTGTCCATAGCCGCTCCGGTTGGCTCAGCCTCCTGCGATATCACATTCACACTTTTTCTCTTTAGGCTCCTTCGAGTCTTTGCCATTGCTGCGCGTTTATCGATTTCAAACTCAAAACCCACAGGCGTCGTGAGCTTTGGGCGTCGAACGGCCGGGACACCAACGCCTCCACTAGCTGTAAGAGTTCTAGAAAACTGTTCACTCTTTCCCCGAGCCGCCCCATGCGTCGTCGCATCATGATACTGCTGTGTCTTACGTTTCTGGGCCTGTACTCGTTTGCGTATGGCCGCAATCTCCAACAGCTCTCGAGATGTCCGCGTCAACATGTCAGCACGAGAACGGGGTGTGGTCTTCTTCATCTGACGGAACTTGGGCGACTGAGGAATCGTCAAGCGACCATTTTCCTTGGCTACTCGATCCAATCTACGTCGCTTACGTGCTTGCTCTCGCGCTTCCGCCAGCTCCTTGTCCTTCCCAGTCAGAACTTTCTTCCTCGAAGCTGCAAGTGACGCTTTCGTGGGCTTCAAGAGGCGATCTGTCGATGAAATTGCACGCACTTTGGGCACAGGAGGGGGGTACACCACGGTACAACGCATCTGGATCTTCATCATACACATGGCGTTTTGTGGGCGCCATTCTTTGAGAGAAGTAGTAAATCCTCTCGTATAAGATGTAATGGCTTTTATCTTTGTACTAAAGTAGTTTGAGCAACAGTTGGCATTCAAATACCAATACTGTACAGCAGTCCGTTGTCAAATTTAAAATTCAAAACCAACATGCTTAGCTGTATAAGTTTTTTTTCACCAATCATATTGAATAATTATCGATTGCAGTGCCTGTCTCTCTGATCCCAACAATTTCAGATACCTCATCACCAATGATTCTTTTACAGAAGAGATACAGTCTTATAAAGCCGCAATTCATGCATTGCAGTCTCAATCCTGCAGCATGTTGCTGACCATAACAACGGACGAACACATTGCTTGTGCTTTGCGCCATCTATAATTTAAACATTGTTCGGTGGCAGGTAGTCAGTACTCCTAGCATTTAGTTTGAGCACCTGGGCGTCTGTTGATAGTTGACACTTAGATCGTGGTTGTAAACACCCCCTTACTCCAAGGTCGCCAACGTTTTCAGTGTAATTAAAGACTTGCACACATGTACGTAGCGGTCCAATTGTCGACGTTGGAAACAATTGAGCAAGCAAAAACACATTATATTTATTCTTGCTAACTCAGAAAAAGAAAGACAAAGGGTTGCTACAGTATCAACGTCCATCAGTTGTTCAAGTGGCATTAACTAATTGGATATTGCAATCAAGCAAACGACGTATTTACTTGGTAAGCTCCTCCCACACCGTGTTCACATCACCACGCGAGTTAGAAACAACATTACGACCTTCTAAGGTAATAACCTTATCTTCTGCATCCACAAAGACAAGCATCGGGATACCCGTGACACCAAACTTTGTGTTGAGAGCCTGGATCGTTGCACGCTGATCAAAAGGAATTGCCAAAAATGTCATTTCTCCGTAGTACTCAGTAAACTGCTTCGGATCACGGTCCGATGATACAAAAATAAGCTCAAACTCAGGATGCTCTTCGACCATATCCTCATACAAGGCGCTCAAAAAGGGTGTAAATTGGCGGCATGGTGGGCACCAGTGTGCGCTAAAATAAAAGCCCACCACCTTCTTACCCGCAAGCTTTTGGTCTGTGTCCTGTAGACCTTCTTTAGTCTGGAGTTTCGCGCCAAGTTGTTCCGACCACTTCATTTTAGAATTGATGTCTGTGCGTTTGGATTTTCTTACTAAATGTCACTTACTGGCCTCAGAGCAAAAGATCAAATGAATAGAATTTTCGAAGATGCGACAGAATAATAAACACGCGGAATGAATATTGAGAAAATTTTTGAGCGAAAAATGACAGTTGCAACGGTAAATTTTGCCTCTGTAATGCATAATGGCTCAGAAATGTCTATTTTATTGAGAGTACCGTTGTCACGTGTAACAAATGATAACAACAGTGTATTCATTCACCTCTAACGTCATCAGGTGCAGACTCGCAACCAATTGCTTACATTATTTAAGCTTGCTATCCTGTATGTAGTACTCGTTCGATTCCTCGTCCTTACTTCAACTGTTTCTTGACATGCTCAATTGCAAGCTTCTTAGTCGAGTGGCGTTTCAGTGGCTTCTTCGATGGATTAAACTCACGCAGGACAACCGTCAAGTGAGTATACGGATGATGCATCACACCCGAACGTCCTGCAAGAACAAGACAGCATCAATCAAACCAGTCATTGTTTGCTCGTCTCGCTCTCTTTCAATGCAGTCAACAATATATGTACCTCGACCCATGATTCGCAGACGCTTGAGGTATGATCCCTTGTTTACAAAGCACTCAGCTACCATTAAGTTTTCCGGCTCAATCTGGTACTTGATATCGGCCAGATTGATAGCATTCTGCACCGTCTTCTGAAAGATCTCAGCTTTACGCTTGGGTGAAAATTTCATCTGCAAAATAGCCTCTTTTGCAGATAAGCCACGTATCTGCTGTGCCAAGTACGTGAGCTTCCGTGGGCTTCCACGGATTGCACGCTTTACAGTCTTGACAGTGCGCGGCTCGGCTGGAGACGTGGCATTCAGAAATGCGGCCGTGTCGTCAATCACAGCAGCAGCAATTTCACCCTCCACGGGAGTCGTCGACAACTTTGCACGCGTTATATGCCCAAGAAATGCACTATTAGCGGCTGGGCGGAGCGTCAACGTGCCCATCTGGGAGCGCAATAAAGCCAGCATTTTGACCAGTTGATGAGCAAACCTACTGACTGCCACCGAATGATAAGATCCTGTAAAAATGGATCATATCGAGGTGTAGCAAATTGGCAAGGTTTCGATTTTGAACACGAAGAATTGGATATGGCTACACACGTTGAAGTAGAATGTCATGTATATTAAAATCAGATATTGGCAGCTCTTCACAACAAAAGTGTCCCTGAGGTATACGATCGCTACATATAAGTAGTCAGCTATGTCTACTACTTCAGTTGTCTTCTCTCGATTGAGGTCTCATATCCTCTGGATTGACTCGACTGCTTTGCTTGTTTCTGCTTCCCATATTACCTACCATATGCAAAATATCCACGGTGCAAAACCTCTCACGCAAACGGTGACGTAGTACGTGTCTTTTTGTCAGAAATCCAGATACGAAGCTTTTCTAAGTTGTCAGGAAGGCTATCACCGTCTTCTTCGTTGTCACTGACAAATGCACCGGCACTCATTCGATCAACGCTTGCACGATCAGCTGCGTTGATTTGGTCGGCGTCATCAGGTAGCCATTCAATGTTCACCTCAATGTCAATTCGGTTAGAGACCAGCGGCATAAGATGTGATACGAATCGCTGACGCGCAGCGGGCGGAAGAGATGGAATCTCAATGCCTCGTACTAATATCTTTGCTGCAGACGTGCCCACCACAATGTTTGCAATCCATTCACCAAGATACTCAAACTTGTCCGGTCGTCCCTTGCAAATATCACGGCGGAGCGACAAAAGAAACTCGGGCGTAAAATGCTTGCACTTCTTCTGTAACTTATACTGCACAATAGCCTCGTTTAGCTCCTGCATCTGCTCCGAGTTTTCCATACCATGCGTACCGGCGTCATAGCACTCGTTGCATAAATTGTAATTCGAGCATATGCTGCACGTCCAGAGCGCGCCAGTGATCGGATCCATGCCACAGCCATCACAGAACGAATTCTCATGCACAATTGTTTTCTTACGCTTCCACTTGGAGCCGATAATGGACGCACCTTGGCTCATAGCTGCACCCAAACGCCCAATCAGAGGTTTCGCAGGTAAAAGCTTCTTGTCAGGCAGACTTCTGGACAGTGCCGCATCCTTGTCATGCATGTCACGTTGGAACACAAGCGTTCGCGGAGTCGAGGAGGTTTCAATCAGCTCAAGTATCTGCTCCTTTGTCATATGTGGCTCGATATGCTGCCCATTTACGCTAACGAGATTGTCACCTACTACCACACCACCACGCTGAGCAGGACTGTCTTTCTCCACACTCCACACTTCGACCAGCAATTCATTCTCCAATGACATGACAACGTTTGTATTGAAACCCAGCACAGACTCAGTAAACGTCAAAGTGTAAGTGTTGAGCGAGTTCTCCACAAAGCCAGCTACTGATTGCGAGCGCATCTCCGACTTGTCATCGCGAGCATATCTTACACTTGCACTAGACGAATTCCGTCCTGAAGACTCACCGCTACTCGTTACGCTACCCGATCTGACATTGATCACCGGTGCCTTACTAACAAAGCGAGGCGGCTTGTCGTGAAGTGCAACACGACGCAAGCTGTGCAGCGCACTGACTGAAGTCGGATCGTCGGCGACACTTGGACCCAGGAAGCGATGCGACGCAAAATCAGCTTGTTCATCACTAAAATCAGCAGCGCCCCCGTAACCTAAAGGTGTACCCAAATCAGCACCTTCCTCTTCTTTCTCACTTGCAGCTTCTTCTTCCTCTTCCTCACTGCTGCTTGCTTCATCATCAATATCGTGATGCACCAAGTTCGATGAGACAGGGTGCTTTGGAGACGGGATCACGAGCTCCACTTCGTGTTCTTGAGCCTCCGCTGTCTGTACGTTAAGCTCCGATTCATCCTGTACTTTCAGTTCTATCTCATTACCATGCGTCTCCACGTTTTCAACGGCAAAAGTCTTCGCAGCAGGCAATGGCGGTAACGGCTGCACCTCCTGAACCGTCTCAGCAGCCTTTAGCTGCTCTGCTATCTCCTTGGTCTTCTCTAGTGCTTCTACTTCTTCCTCCACTGTTTTGGCACTCAGCTTATGGGCAGCTACAGATACACTTTCTTCTGCAAAATCTTGCTCAAAAGGTTGCTTTACATGTGACGTCTGCTCTATATTCTCCTCACGAGGAGTCGTAGGTACGGAAATCGATGCCTCCACTGGCGTCCTAGGCTCGATCAACTCCTCACGGGGGCTTGTAGATCCTACTACAGGCGTTCTAGGCTCTATCGTCTCCTCACGGGGACTCGTAGTTCCTACTACTGGCGTTCTAGGCTCTATCGTCTCCTCACGGGGACTCGTAGTTCCCACCGGCGTTCTAGGCTTGATCATCTCCTCACGGGGACTCGTAGGTGGTTTTACTGGTAATATGGACTCTATATTCTCTTCTGGAGGGGCCACTAATGCCGTTGTCAAAATCTCAACTGGTGCTGACACCACCTGTGATTGTTGTAGATGCTGCTGTTGCTGTTGATTCTGCTGTTCCAATTCCTCCTCTTCTTCACTATCAGTACGAGCTTTATCTGATTCAATACCGTCTTCATGGGGTTTATGTACCTCCTGTTGCAATGTTCTCGGGCTCTTTTCCATCTCAACTTCGCCCACGTTGCTTCCTGTAGAAGAAGACGGACTCGTTTCTGCTGGTGCAACATTTCCGATACTTTGAGGTAGCTCTACGTGCAATTGCGCGGGTGATACTGCAGTCGATGTCTCCATCACTTCTTCTGCCAACTTTACTATACGATGTAACGTATTGTTGGGCTCCACTTACGTTCAGTATGGAACGGCGATCGTCTGAAAGAAAACCTTGTAGACCTAAATACCGGTATAACCCGATATTTTACAGATGCTAAATATTTTATGATATCTGCTGTTTTCTATTAATACATTGTGATTTTTATCAGCTGCTTCATTTTATCATGTATGACAGTTTTTTACTCTAATAATGTTTATTTTGTGTAAATTCCTTGACAGAAATTATCATCAAATTTTATCGTTTGCGCCACGTCACATGAGCGCATTTTTTTTCGCACATCTTTGAATGCACTAAATAAATAGGTTTTTGCCACAATATGGGTATGTTACCGTAATTTATTATACCTTACAGCAACCACTTTGTCGAAAGATGCTTTAATTCTTCGTCTCTTGCATCAAAGCGCAGAACTCGTTGTAGTCAATCTTTCCATCCTCATTTTTGTCAGCTGATTCGATCAGTTTACAAATTTCTTCATGGCTCATGCGCTTATTGCCAAGTACATGTAAAATATGCTCTAGCTCATTGCTGGAGATAAATCCGTCTTGGTTTTCGTCGAAAGTCTACAAAAGAGAAAGTCGGAAATGCGTGCGTCAAAAAGCTACAGGGACACAATGTAGAACACTTTTGCTCTTCAATTTCAAAAACGTACATCAAAAGCTGCTGTCAGGTTCCCACTACAATTTGACAAACAAGTTAGTGCGATGGATAAGCTCAATTTACAATGCAACGGAATTGTACCGACAAAATAGCCGTTGGTTCGTTATACTGACAAACTCGGTGAATGAAATCTTTCCATCACCATCAGTATCTGCTTGGCGCATGATTTGATCGATTCCAAGCTTGGGAATACACGAAAAAAGCAGCATATAATCAGTACAATAGCCTCAGAGTATTGTATGTGCATCGAAATACCGCAACCTCGACAATTTCTGTCCAAGCGCTAAGAGCATGTTTTTAAGCTCATTGCGGTCAATGCACCCAGATTCGTCTTTGTCAAAGAGAGCGAACGTCTCCTTAAACATGTCCATATTTAATGTTGTTGTCCGGCGTGACGCAACTTGATTACTATTGGCACCGGAAGATGAGCCCAATTTCACATGCTGCATGCCCATGATGACAGCCAGGATATTGGCGCGAAGATGCTGCAAACGCTGATACGATTGTAGACGTTGACAATGGCCGCTGTCCAAAGGCCCATCAGACGTTGAAATGCCGCAGAGCCATGGATGTTCCAGCGCTTGTTGAGCAGTCAGTCGACTAGCCGGGTCGGAGTCAAACAGCCGAGTCACAAAATCCTTTGCCTCCATTGATAGCCTCTTGTACCATTTGTTCTCCACTGCATACAAGTCACCGCTCACATGTAAGACAGAGAGACCTATACATTCACTGCCGAAATTGAACTTACCGTCGTATTTCCCTTTCGCAATTTCGTTTGCAATTTCAGCATCCGACTTGTCACATCTTGGATCAAAAGGGCGCAACCAGTGAGCGTTTTATAGGTCTAGATTATGATGCTTAGCGACACCTACACGTAATCAGAAGTATACCGAAAGGATATATAATTTTCAGTCCATACCATCACCCCAAACGCCCACATGTCGACGCCAAAGTCCTGAGGTCGAAACCTGATAATTTCAGGAGCCCAGTATGCGCTGTACCAGCAAGTAAGTGTAGGTTAGCAAGTGGTAAGTAATTAACCGTACATTTCTTCAGTCATCCTTACACAGTCCCGCTTGGACACTTTTCAATTGTCTGCTCTCCCTGTCGTTGTCTTCGACTTATTCCGAAGTCCTGATAAAAACATCAAACCACCGTAAAATAAGTCAATGCTGGGGCTAATCGATCTAATTTAAAAGAGAAGCTCACGGACCGCTATTTTGACGTTTGCATTGGCAGACCGGTCCGATAGCAAGATATTCTCCGGCTTTAGATCGCGATGGCTAGGGAAAAGAGGAAGAATGAACATGATAAACCGATGGAACTCTAATTGCTACGGCAATGCGACTGACCATACACCACGAGAATGTACGTAGTCAAGAGCTTGACACACATCGTGAAGTAGATGAGCGGCATCCTTTTCGGCACACAGATCCCTATTACAACATCCAACGATTCTGACGTTCATTTCAAAAGGTCATGGACGCAAACTTCATCACATTTATTCTCACCATATCGACAATATAGTCAAAAAGTTCACCTCCTTCAACTAAGTCTGTCAACATAATCGTATCGTCCTTTAAATACAGCACATCATACAATGACACGATGTTTCGATGAGCATCAAGGTGCTTCAGAATGTCAATCTAACAATCCAACCAAGTCAATTAGCAATTCGGAGCATATATTGCTCATCAAGTTATTAGAAGTACCAAGTATACCTCGGCTTGAATTGTCTCAAGCGAAGAGGTTTTCAAATCCAGAATCTTTGCAGCAAGCATCTACTCAAAAGTACAAAAAAAATGTCAAAGACCATCAATCGTATCGATCTCCTTGTCTATAACCAACTACATTGACCCAAACTTCTCACTGTATGCGTGTCCATATCAATTGCAAGACGTACAATTGAAAATCCTACAATTAATAGAAGAATAAAGGATACAATACGCTTGAGATTCACGTGAAAACATTCCAACTGAAGCATACAAAAGTCCTTGAAAACCTCCTCGACCGAGCTCTTTCATCAGTGCATATCTTCCTATCTTTTCTATCTAGGAAGTTGTATTCAAAACGTCAATACTCGATCCATATTCAACGCTATTGTTTAGTGTATCTCGAAACGATAACATCGTGACCCCCAACACTGCGGCAGTGGTTATCAATCCCACCCAGGCCAATTGTTTGCTGCGCAAAACTTCTCTTGGCTTATAAATATAAGCATACAATTGTTCCATTATTACCGTCGGTGCCATCTTTGAGTGCCACATGGAGGCACGCATGAGATGCGTGATCAGATGTATACGCATGGATGTGTATACACACTATACAGTGTCAATATTGAAGTGGAGATTGTAAGTGTGTAAAGAAACGTAAAACGACGTAAAGTGGTACGTGAAGTAACACCAAGTTGAAGCCATCCATCCTTTCTATAGTGACATAAATCAGGCATGAAACCCTCGAGGTGTATATGGGTTCACTTCCTCTTCAAATAGATCAGACGCGAGCTTAGACAATGCATGCATTGCTTTGAGATCCTCAATTGAAATATTCTCTCGAGTTTTCGTGTCAATTGTGCACATACAAGCAACAATGATACCATCGGGTGATTCAATGGGGAAGCCAGCAAAATATCGCACACCAATGTCGCGCACAAGTCGCAGATGACGCAATTGCGGGTCACGCAGCGGATGCTTGATCACGAATGGCTTGCTGTTTGTCAATAATGATACTGGACACATTGTCATTTCTTCTGTCCATGGAGAAGGAATACCAAAAGATCCCACAACGCGTTGAGCTTGAGAACTACTGTGACTTCTGTTGAGTGCCACGATATACGCAATTGAGCACTGCATCCGAATAGCAGCTACCTCACAGATTGAGTCGAGAGCTGCTGAGTCTATTTCATCATCCAAATCCAATTCTAACTCCATGTTTGTAGTTGTTATCCATGGACGAGATGCAAATGATGGTCTTGCGTGCATGTTAAATTTGATCGAGGAAGAGAAGTACTGGTCACTTGTACTGCGTCGTGGACGGTGTGTCACGTCTTGGATACTGTAAAGCGAACCTGATCGATTGCGCTGGCTATTATTACTGCTTTCTGTAGAAGCAGCACCGCAAATTGAGATGTTGGACAGATGCAGACGTGCCTCTAAATACTTATCCAGCATTCTTCTATTTGGGTAATGCGGATGGAATACTGGAATTGATGCCTGTGATGATGAAGACGACGATGACGTAGAAGTTGCGTGAGTCGGCGGCGAATCAGATGTCACTTGCTTCACCACTTTGCGTACGACCTCGAGCGCACGGGCCCGAGTTAAAGGGTTACTGGAAAATAGAGCGTCGGCCAATTGCCGTCCAGGTGTCGACGAAAACGATGCCGAAGTCGTGGTTGCACTGCTGCTGCGATTTAGTCGGTTCATTTGTGCCTCATATGTAGCCTGCGATGTTCCTGCTGCATCAACCATGCTAGACAATTGAGTTTTGCGACCTTCGTCGCCGTGCTTGAGCAAGATATCGTAAAAGGTCGTGGATATTTCTGCACTAGCAACACCATCAGCTTCATCGTGTTGGTCGTCTGGATTATGTCTGGTCGCTGCCGTTGCTGCAGTGGAATTCTCAGAAAGCGATGCGTTCAAAAGCGGGTTTTCCCGCTGAAACACGCTGGCATCAACGTTGGCCACACACGCAAAACAAATTCGATTGCGGCGCACTCTGTGTGCTATCGACTCCACGTCAACTTTTCGCGAGCATTCACGGCAAACACGCTGTGCACACAGCTGGCAGAATCGTTGGGAGCGTAGCAATCCAAAAGCCTTGAAACACACCGTACACATATCGTTATGCGCTTCGTCGCCGTTTGTTGGCGTTCGCAGGAACGGATGGTTACCAAAACGCCGACGACGTACGAGCTGTTCAAACGACGTAGTTGCAGCCGCTAGAAGGTTTACTACATATTTTGCCTCAGCATTCGCTAGCGTAGGCGAGTAATGTCGACGAGAAGAAACTACGCCAGCAATAGGCTGACCTGTTGGCCATAGTCTTGAGAACTTTTGACGGACACCAGTCGTCGTTGGTGCTGGCGGGTTGCAGACATATGCAGTCATGACGATTTTCGTTTGGTGTCCATTCAAGTCGCTATATGAGCTCGCAAGATGATACCCAGCGGCAATATGATCCTTGTCGCCTCGAATCGCTTGTTTTTCGGTATGCTTGACTCTGTGGCACGTGAACTTATCATGTGTCGGCTTGGGCAAGGTCTTCATGGTGTAAAATGCTTCGTTCGTATCGGAGCAGTGTTGCGAATACACAGCGAAGCAAAGCCTCTGGCGGCGACTGGTATGTTTGGCCGCTGCCATGGGGTTAAGTGACCGACGGGAACGTAGGACCACAGATTGCAGCGCCACCCATCCGGGCTGAGAGAGATCGCTCAGGTCTTCATCTTCACAGCAAGGTGCATTACCGTCCCCGTAGTCCATTGCTAGAACAGTGTGCAGGCTCTTGCGGAACTCACGCGAGACCAGCAGATCACCCCTCCTGTACTTCTTAACACCAAAGAGGGCATTCATGCTGGCGTCAAACTGCCCCTTCTCGCGGCTGAACAACATGGTCATTGCCTCTTCCAAGCGGCAGTTCAGTGTGACTTGTGCTGATACAGCGTAGGTGACATTTGGATCGTTGCGTGGCCATTGAAGCAGCTCTCTTGCCTGCACCGTAGACTGAGTATGCTCTCCCAGAAAAGCATTGCGTGTGTGAAGTGATCCACGAGACTCAATCATCGAGTGACGGTTATCAGAAGCTCTTGCCGAACCGTGGGCCCAATTAGTGCTGTCAATGCTTCTTATCGATGGGAGTTTGGATCGATCAAACTCGCTGATCTCTGCACCGTGCTGCTGCTTCTTGACAACCCAACATGGCGATTGATGCCTGTCCGACGATGTCATTCGCCACATGCTGCTAGTGCGACAGCTATCCTTGCGGTGCTCCAGAACTGCTCGGAGCTTGGGCACAACACTTGCTGCTGTGGCGAATAACTCGCGGTCAGTCACAATTCCATTGATCGATGACATAGACAAGAGCCCATTGTGTGCTGATGCGGGCGACGCTGCACTGCTCTGGAAGTCGGAGCTCTGGATGCTGCTTCGGCAACTGCTACCCATGTAGCTGTCTGTCATTCTAAGTTCTCTCTACCTTCAGGAAAGGAAAGGTCACGATAAAGTATATGTCGTGGACGATGGAAATTAAAGAGTGAGGACCATAAAATTATCGAAATGCACAATGTGTTGCTGCAGCTAGGAGCTCTGCAAGCTTAAGCGATGGCGCCCATAAGAGTTCATCATTGTCAAGCATATACAGCTCCGGATGCCTGGTGCTTCCACTGGCTTGATGTTTGGCCTGACCGACTCGGAAAATGTCTGACTATCTGTCACGAACACAAAGTCAAAGTTGCATCATCTTTGGAGACTCCAAGACTGAAGTGATGGTACTAATTCTAATGGCGCTTGTTGAAGTTGTCTTGATCTCTCCAGTGGCATGATCTATACAGTTAATATGGTTGTGGACTCGCAACTCAATCACGGAGTAATGTATAATCACGATTGTGCCTGTAGACAATTCGTACGTAAGCGCTGTATGGAAAAGCAGAACGAATCAGTCGACTTGATGCCAGTCTCCGTGAAAGATCCAGAATCTCATGTCAAGAATCCAGAGCATTTTGATTGCCTTGATTGTGGAGCCATGTACGTCATTCGTAGTACCTATAGCGTCCAGGGAGGTGCATTTCGATATCTCACTAATTTTGATGTCTTTACAGCAACAAGCACGCATGCCCCGGATCTCCAGTCTCACGACGTCGATGATGAACGTGTTGTGCGGTCGTTGCTGTCCGCACATCCAGCTGTCAAACTGTGCTATGCTCATTAAAGTCGAACACGATACTGTCAGTCATCATCAAGTTTTCTACTGAGCCGGTTCATGCAGAAAAAACGATAGTGGCCACGACTGTAAGTGTGGGCAGCGAACATTCAGATCAATGCATCACAAACTACCTTGTATAGAAAAACGGATCAAACATGCCTTGTAATTAAGAAATAACCGAGACAACTAACTTTTCAAAGCATGCACTTCCCCATTTAGTCATCTACAACTCATCGTGATCATCATCTTCGTCGGCGTCTTCGTCATCGCCGCCATCCTCTGGGCCAGCTCCGCCCTGGTAAACCTTGGACATAATGGGGTTAACAAGCTTCTCGACCTCCTTCTGCTTCGCCTCAAAGTCTTCCTTGTCGGCCTCTTGGTTGTCCTCCAACCAGTCCATTGCGTCCTGCACGGCAGTCAGCACCGTGTCCTTGTCGTCCTCGTCAATCTTGTCCTCGAGTTTGTCCTCCACATTGTTCTTCACGCTGTACAGGTAGCCCTCAAGAGCATTGCGTCCGTCAATACGGTCCTTGACCTTACTGTCCTCATCAGCAAACTCAGCGGCCTCCTGGACCATGCGGTCAATCTCTTCCTGGGACAGCCGGCCCTTCTCGGCAGTGATCGTGATTGTTTCAGCCTTGCCAGTACCCTTGTCCTCAGCAGACACCTGCAAGATACCGTTTGCATCAATCTCGAACGTAACCTCAATCTGAGGCACACCACGAGGAGCAGGAGGCAGACCGGTCAGCTCAAACTTGCCCAAAAGACGGTTGTCCTTGGTCATAGCACGCTCGCCCTCGAACACCTGGATCAGTACAGCAGGCTGGTTGTCCTGGTAAGTTGAAAAAGTCTGCGACTTCTTGGTCGGAATCACAGTGTTACGGTTAATCAGCTTGGTCATGACACCGCCAACAGTCTCAATACCTTGAGACAGTGGTACGACATCAATCAACAGCACGTCCTTGGTCAAATCGTCCTGCTCACCGCCAAGAATACCACCCTGAACGGCAGCACCGTACGCAACAGCCTCATCAGGATTCACACCGCGGGACGGTTCCTGTCCGTTGAAGTAGTCCTTAATCAATTGCTGCACTTTAGGAATACGCGTAGAACCGCCTACCAATACAATCTCATCAACCTGCGACTTCTTCAAATCAGCATCCTTCATCACCTTTTCAACCGGACCAAGCGTCTTCTTGAACAAGTCTTCATTAAGCTTCTCAAAACGAGCACGACTCAAAGACTCGGTAAAGTCTTCACCATCCAGCAACGATTCAATCTCAAGACGAGCTTGAGCTTGAGTCGACAGAGCACGTTTGACACGCTCCGCTTCACGACGAAGCTTTTGCAACGCACGCTTGTCCGACGAAACATCAATGTTCTTGTCCTTCTTCCATTTCTTGATGAAGTACTGCATAATGCGTTGATCAAAGTCCTCACCGCCCAAGTGTGTATCACCGTTAGTAGCCAGTACTTCAAAAACACCTCCGTCGATAGCAAGTAGAGTGACATCAAAGGTGCCACCTCCCAAATCAAACACCAACACATTCTTCTCACCCTGTGTCTTCTTGTCAATGCCATAGGCAATAGCAGCAGCCGTTGGTTCATTAATAATACGCTGGACCGTAAGACCAGCAATGGTACCAGCATCCTTCGTTGCTTGACGTTGAGCATCATTGAAATAAGCAGGAACTGTTACAACAGCATCAAATACTTCACGACCAATGTAACTTTCGGAAATTTGCTTCATCTTCGTCAGCACCATGGCAGAAATCTCTTCCGGTGCAAATTGACGTTTCTCACCTTTAATTTCCACTTGAATAAAGGGTTTTCCATCCTTATTCACAAGTTCATAAGGTAATAACTTCTTATCAGCTTGCACGGATTTATCATTGTATTTACGACCAATGAGACGTTTGACATCAAACAATGTCTTTTCCGGATTAATTGTTGCTTGATTCTTTGCACCATCACCAATCAAACGTTCGTCATTGGAATCCCAAGCAACGTAGGAAGGTGTAATACGATTACCTTGATCATTAGGAATAATATCCACCTTTTGATCCTTGTAATAACCCACACAAGAGTACGTTGTACCCAGATCAATACCAATTACAGGACCACGTGGACCCTTTGTCTCATCAGCTACAACAACTACACTTGCAACAGCAGCTGCAGCTAGTAGGATGATCTTGGACAGGTTCATCTTGCTCTTTCTCTTCTCTCCTCTCTTACTTAATTAAGCGAGTGATCTGACTGACTGACTGACTGAGTTTGTGTTACTTTACTTCTCGTCCGCTAAAACAATTATGACAAGCAAGAATGTGAAAGTCAAAGCTTGAGTGAGAAGTAGCTGGGGGTTTGACTCAAAAACATTTATATGGAAGATTGTATGTAAAACTTATGTTAAAACAATGCTGACGTGGCTTCGTATGCTGATCTTCTAGAAAATCCGTTTCAAACTCACTTGATGTTTCTATACTGCTACATAAAACATAATAACAAGTGCCACGCGTCGTGGATCCTCGACTGAATACGATTTCAATGTCCTACGGAAAAGAATATTCATGTGGCTCCATAACGACTCGTCGCATATGTTTCCAAATATTTTGATTACACCAATGAAAGTATTCATGTTAGCCGATATTTGATGCCATTTGTTAACTGATAAGACCTTCATTCATTACAGGGCAAAATTGGGCTTTCAAAGAGATCACACATACACACGTCCACGTGGCATATATATTGACAGTAATCTTCTGCTAAGCATCTGTGATTTGCATGGCAAACGAACGTTAACTCGCTGGTTGAGTGATGAAATCGAGAATTGTTGCAAGCGTTTTCTGTTTATGCAAAGCATTAGTGGATCTATCTGTAGATTGTAGTAAAAAAAGATAAGAAGAGCGATATCCTATCGCAGTAAAGAACTTGATCGAGTAGCAATGCCTCAATAACATAAAGCCGTACGAAGTTAGGACAATGCTAAATGCAGTACAATGCATTGTGACTAGCGCCATTTGGCACCATTTAGTCTTCATCCTAACGTCAAGAATGCGTCTATCATCATATAGCACACAAGATGTTTAGCACTGACAACGTGTCTCTTTGCTCACAACTTCAAGTCGCGTAGTCGTATTTTCTTCAGTAAATCTTCACTTTGACTTGCCGCTTTGAATGCTTTCAATGAAAGTCCTTCTTGTCCTCGTTTGCAAGGTTGTATTTTATGCAGTCAAACATCATCTTGTTGCACTTGTCACGCGACATTTTCCGTCATTGCGATGTCAATTGCATCAACAAATCAACGCAAATGTGTTCTTATTGTTCGAGAAGCAACTGTCGTAGATTGTTCATACATTCCAGAATGCTTCGTACATCGAACTCTACAGAAGACCGTGGTCTCGGTCATAAAACCCGGGTGCAAAGATAAACCGTTCTCAGTCACTTCAAGTTGATCGATTATAAAAGCTGTTCCATATGTAACATGGAATGAGAAATCCTGGTCTATTGCAGGTGACAAGATGCCTCAATTGATATAAAACCTGTTAGACGTTGCGCCGTTATCGACAATGTGTTTCCAGTTAGCAAGTCTTTTCACAACTGATAAGTTTTATGCACAAGTCGGTCCAGTGACTTTGATTGATTTGACCCAGATATCCTATTTGGAATGGAAGTAATTGTTCTTGGTTGTGGCCCCTCGTCCTCAGTGCCGTCCATGCGCTGCATCCTGAGTCAGAACTGTGCTGTGTGCCTGGAAGCACACACCAATCCAAACTCGAAGAACAGACGACTTAACCCCAGTTTGCTCGTCCGCAACCTAATAACCGACACCAACATCCTCATTGACTGTGGCAAGACCTTTCGTGAAGCCGCACTCAGAACCTTTCCTCAGATCGGCGTCTCAGCTGTTCACGCACTTGTACTGACGCACGATCACGCTGATGCGTTGCTGGGTATGGACGACCTCCGAGAAGTTCAAGCCCATGTCGAGACTATCGATTCCATGACTAAGGAGCTGTACAAGATTCCTCCTAGGGCTATGAAGGTACATTGCAGTGAGTCTACAAGTCACGATGTGATCACCAAGTTCCCGTACTTAATTGACAGTAAATCATTGTCTCCAGCTGATGAGGCAGTACCAAAGCCATTCCGGTGGACTGCCAAGCTTCAAGTTGACGCGTTTAATCCGTGGATGCCGTTCGAGGCTTGTGATATTAAGTTTCTGCCGTTCCCGGTGATTCATGGAGCAGGATACACGTCATTTGGGTTTGAGTTTGGATTCGAGGTTGGCGCACGCTTCGTCTACATTTCGGACGTGAGCGAACTGCCCGACGAGACGAAAACTTTCTTAAATGATGAAAGCAAACCTCGGATTGATGTTCTGCTGATCGATGCGCTTTTTGTGGAAAAATACCACAGCACGCACATGAACTTGCAAAAGGTGATAGAGGAAATTGTGACATTCAAACCGAAGCGAACATTGCTCACTGGCATGAGCCATGACTTTGACTACCCGAAACACAGCGTTGAGTTGCCCAAGATAGGCCAGGAGAAGGGTCTGAATATCGAAATGACCTACGACGGATTGCGTATTGCTTTCCCTTGATCGAAGTGCAATTGATGAACCTTGACTAGTATTCACTCGATGATACATGGAGAATCAACACGCAAGGCACAATATACTTTGTGTTCTTTTGCTGCCATATTCGTAGTTGCAAACAAAATTTCTGCATTCTTGTTAAGTCCAAAAATGCACTGGTAGTCGAAATGCGAGAAGCTGTGACTCGATGATCACAAAGGACCAGTCAGTAGTAACACCGGTCTGATCTAGATTGAAGGGGTTTTCGAAGATCGGTGCCTCCAATTCAACTCATGCCTATGCATTTATGAGCGGCTTGATAGTACAGTGTCTTGGAGACAAGCTGGCTATGAAGATAGTGGCTAAGAAGACCAAAAGCTGATGCACATCCACTGTCACGCAGAGCAAATCCACTGTCACGCAGATGCAAATATCGAGCTTTTCGCATTTTTGAAAGATAACAACTCCCTGTATGGATCCCTAGACTGCAGTAGATCCCATCACTGCAGTCTAGGGATTAATACAAGGAGCAGTTATTTAGCTGCACTAAGCCAAGGTCAGAAATAGACCAAGACGTCACCTTGTTTATGTTTTGCTGCTCGATACGCTGTCTTGGACGAGTGCATAGCGGCTTCACAAGGCTAAGGCAGTGGTGATGGAAGATGAGGTCATCCAAAACAAATGATACTCGCAGTGATGAGTGGCAAATTGACTACCAGTCAAGTATCTACAAAATATGTTGAACAGTACTTCGCAGAAAATGGTAGGTATCGAGTCCGATCTTCACACCACGATACCTTTCGATGAAAGCTGCTGTCCTATACTGTGTAAAATTCGGTCAAGTAACAAGTAACCACTGGAGGACGTGTTGAAAGTACGCGTTAGTACACACAGCAATGTCAACTAGTGTTTCCTTTCAACAACACAGCAACATAGTCTTTCATGTCCATGTGAATCAACTCCAGTGTCGTTGCTTCAGCTTGTGGATGCAAGAAAATCGACTGCATTGGTGCCAATAGCATCACTGTTCTGACTTCTAGGTTGTGACAAATCAGCACTATCATACACGATAGCTTTTGTTTTGCCCTCACCAGACTGTGATGGTGTCAGCAAACCAGTCTCCCGCATGATCCCATCAAAATCATCGATTTCCTTGCTCAATACACTGGCGGAAGAGAGTGCAGCTGCTGACGGCACAGGGAATAGGCGGTGGAAGCACTTGAGCAGGTATGGCACGAGCTCAGAACGAATAACCTGAGTGGGTGGATTCATAGCAATCAAGTACTTTTGTTAGGTTTACAAAATGCTGGATACATCTACTATGCCGCACCTCGTTCATCGCACAAACAGACTCAGTCAGCGTCACGACCCTCGCATTCCTTGAAATCGTGTTCGTTCCATCAGCGTTGCTTTCTCCTGCAGAGGCGTGTAAATCAAGTCTGTTCTCCTTAACGAACTCAGCGATGGTGAGCAACATCGTGCCAATTGCGCTCTGGTACTTTTTGCTCAAACGGTTCTGCAGTGATAAAATTGTACACAGTCTCAACTCATTCAGCGAAGATAGCAATGCGTTGGTAAACTCAGCCAGCATAGGAAATGACATCAGGCACCGAGGTGGTGAATAGTCTTCACTATCAGTAGAGGCAGCTACCGGACGAGCTGTAGAAGGATAGCTGCTGTCACTTGCATTAACTGACGAGCGATACGATGCAATCACAATGGGTGTCTTTGAAGATGCTAAGAATGAAGAACCACTGGATGCTGACAACGAGTGTGCGTTTAGATTCTCCTGAAACTCGCGACAAGCAGAACGCCAGGACTCCGTCATTAAGTTCAGTATGTGGTCCTCAAAGTACACGACAAGTACCGCACGAAAGTCCACACCGACGCGGCCCAGCGACCCTCCAAAAAACAAACTCTGTTCAAAAGTTGTCGCAATCGAACTGAAGTCATCAATCTTCGGCAATTGCCTAGCCAAATGATAGAAAGTTAGGTTGACGTTAATTTCGGCACGCTAAGATGTAATCTATTGACAACAAGCGTACTTCATGAGAATGTGAATAAAATTTGCGACCGTTGTCGTCGCCCAGCGACACAGTGAGGGATCAACTTTACCGTCTACATTCTATACGTAGGGTACGTGAAAAGCACACTTTGTCAAGCACCATAGCTACGCAAATGGATACCTCTTGATGAAACGCACCTCGCTCCCAAAAATAGCCGAGTATTGAGTAATCATGTCGAACCAGGTTGCACGCTTGATGTCAATTATTTGAACAATCTACAAGTCGAGAAATGAAAGTCATCAGTGGTCTACAGTAACCGCGCCTTCTTTACATATACTTAGTAGCTGTGAGCGCACGTATTGATACGGGTCTGAATTTGAAATGCCTCGGCTCAAGGAAGCCAGCCACACATTTCTGCAGGCAAGAAACTCCTCCTTAAGCTTCTTTTCATACTCCAACGATCCAACAGCTGCCACTCCATCCTTATCAACTAAAGTATCCAGACGTCGAAGATACCCGACAATTCGAACGCAAAGTGCCAACTGCAGGTCCTCACGCAACTTTTGCAGTAGTCTTTCGCGCATAGTGCTAGTCATCTCTGCCACTTCCTGCAGTAGACAGTCAATCACCACATTGCCTGCCGCATTCACGTTCTCATCAGACCGGAACATCTCATTGGTGAACTGAATCACATCCAGTGCTGAGTCAAACATTTCATTATGGATACAAGCCTCTAGCAGTTGCGGGATCTCCAGCAGCTCAGTCAACTAAAGACACAATTCAATAATGGTAATAATTACTATATCAACCAATAAATAAAACTTAATATTGAATGTACCTGTAAATAATGCTTAAATACAAACTGAATATCGCCGTATTTGGTCACAATCTCCGCGACTTCATTTTGAAATTCACTGCAATGCTCCTGTAACAATGGAATAGCAGCTTCAATCTTTGTCGTCTCTTCCTTCAGCTCTGCTAGCTAGATATAGCAAAACAATCATTCTAATATCAATTATACCGAGAACAATAAAAATATTCACAGCTACAAAAATCAATTGACGCACTTCATTTTTGACAATAGCAGCGCACTGGTTGCTCTGGATAAACACGTGGTAATTCTTGAGCACAAGATTACGTAGCTGCTCTGCGGTATTTTCTACCTGAACCTGCAGACGTCGTGGTTCCTTCTTGAGCGCTTCAAGCGAACAGGTCGTGAGTGATGGCAGCATTGTCATGATTTGATAAACAAAATGAAATATCAAGTTGTGGAAAAATAACGCAAGCTAAAGGATTATTTACCGTACCGGTATTAGCTAGGTATTCGGTTAGTGTAGACCTTATTGAATAAAGTGCATTACTTAAGTTCTACCCGACTCAATTGCCAGTTCTCTTCCATCGCCATACCAGTAGCTTGCTGAATCGCTGCTGAGGCTCATTCATATTTGTCACAGTCTTCCTTGTTGTTTGCCGCTTTGTTGCTGATACAAGTAATGACCCCATTTGTTGAACTTTCTATTCAGCTCTTTGCGATGTAGAAAGGAAACTGATGTTCAATTTGTGCTGTTGTCTCCTAACCGATCGTTCGTTACACTTCGACGAATCTCATCCTACTTATCCACAACAACCTTCGTCACCCATACTAACACATAACTCCGTCCTTCTTATGGATATGCATATAGGCGCCAACACCGTTTAACGAGACCTGTCGTGGCGCACATTACGAATGCTCGGCGCCCTTCATCCTGATCTTCAACACCAATTTGCTTGACCGGCGCCGTTTTTGTCAATCAATTAACTACCCAACGTTATATTTTGTAAGTGGCGACAGCATTTAAAAATCTATTTTGACTTTGTAGCAGAGCTACCGTAGCAAGGCTACAAATGCACTTGGTGCAGAGGAAGACAAGCTCTAGGAGCTTTACGCCTCTTGTTCAACAACCCTCTTAAGGCTAGCTTTACAAGCTTGTGCCTTCTGGTTGCAGCAACCACGTCTCTTTGAGACCAATATCCACAGACACTATTTTCTTCTGTCAGGAACGGCTTTAGCAACAAATGCTATCCAGAGCAGGGTTTAAACTGATTTATTTCATGTTTATCTTCTAGCACTAAATATAGAAGCGCCTACTCTATACTTCGTGCTAGTCACTATTTACTGGCTCTGTAGCCGATTAAAATGCAAACATGTAAAGTCACTATACATAAACTAACTCTAATGACCACGTGGCTCTCTGCCACGATGTGAACCCATTGTGCCTTAGGTACGGTCACATAAACCCATCAATGTACCCGTCGTACCCACGATTTAGTCCTGTCGGTTTCATTTTTCACATTTTACTTGTCACGCAAATAGTCTGTCAGCACTTGTATTTAAGTCCCTTTAATGTTACACACTTGCCCATAAAGCACTAAGTGCATATCACTTGCTCTTTAAGCCCTTTTTACTTGCTCCTTGAGCGTTAAGTGCCTAGCACTTGCTTTTTTTTAGGCTCTCAGTGCTCTGAATACTTTCTCCTTGAGTACCTACAGTTTTTGCGTTATGCGAGTTAATACAAAGGCAAAGCGTCATACCCTTGCATCCCTGCTCACACATTAGCTGCGCTGCCTCATCAGAAATGAGGCGATGCGTCGAAACATCTTTGGAGATGATGCTAGTGACGTTGCCTCTAAGGCCAGCGGCGCCATGTCTCCGTCGGTTCATAGTACCTCACGGTACCACGCTCACTGAGCGAGCGACGCCGGTCCCCTTGTTTACCCTTGTCCTCGAGAAGAGCAACCGCGCCAAGTGCCACTAATCTCCTCTCGTGAGTGTGGTATCTAACCCTCCGCACGCTGCACAGAGTCGTCAACCTGATGACGAGGCCTGATCGGCAGTCCTGGCACGACGCAAATGCACATTCGTGCGTCTTAGTTATGGGTTTGTGCATTGGGACCCCAATGAGGAAGCTTGACCAGCTGCATCAAATCCTTGCTTCCTTGTATTATTGATCCCGAAACCCGCACCGCTTGTGAGGTTGCGGATCGTGCCGCACTTCATAAGCAACTTCTTACTCCACAAGAGTTTATGATTTATTCGTATGAGGAGCCACTGTCGCTACAGTGACGTGGATTGCCGGTGTACCTTCATAAAGTGGCATACCATTGGTGATATCACCAGATAAAATATTTTTACAAAATGATCACCAGATCACCCGTTAAGTCGAAGGAGCTTGCAAGCTCTAAAGTATTTCTGACTTGCGCTTAAGATCAAAAGATCAGGACGTCTGTTTCGTGCGTCGGCTTCAATTTAATTTCGTAAAGCTCAAAACAAAGCGATCGTAACACTTCGCTTATAAGTCCAAGAATTGTGGGGGTCCTGCTTTTGAAGCAGTTGCTCGTACTTCTCACGCAAGTAATGTACCGGCGTCGTCTTCTTAAGAAGGTCAGGGGAGAATACATTTTACTGACCTTGCTTCCACAGTGCCGGGTGCTAGACAGAGTTAACGACGTCCTGGGGTCTTGCCGAAGGGACACCTTGTACTCCTACGAGTGACACGACTGTGGTCATCACCTCTACTTCACCAGGTACTGGTTATGACCCTGGTTAAGACGTCACGCCGAGAGGCGCTCGACTTGAGACCATTTATGGCCCAGCTCATCGATCAGCATCGGCTGAAGTCTTTGATCGATTATCTCTCTGAGATCGAAGCTCACCTGACGAGCCTGGAGTGCGATGTCTTTGGGTTGTTGACGTCGTACCTGTCGTTGCTCGATGACCGTGTAGATCGACACCGTCGCTCTATAGATCGCTATCGTTCATGAAGTACAATCGCCTAGCAGCGATTGAGCGTTTTCTCGCAGATCTTCGGTATCAATTGACCTCCTGGTACGTCTCCAGCGTCCATATGCAGCTCCGGTGCTGTATAACCCGCCTCCTTTGGCCGGGGGGTATGGGCACAACCTCTGGATGCCCACCGATGCTGGGCTGGGGTATGGTTTGTGTGGGTCCACATAGAACATAGGATGTGCGCGCATCTTCTTTGAAAAGTTAAACGCGTCGGCTAAGCCTTTCTTGCTTATGACCTTGAATGCTCTAATAAAGCGTGGACGTCGTTGTTTTATATACCACAGACACTGCACGATTTAGCGTTAATAAAACTGAGTCACCCACTTTGAACTCGTGTTCATTCTTTCTGCCTTTGGCATCTGCTTTTTCCTTCCGAAAATCTTTGCTTTCAGCCATAGCGTCTTCATGCGACGTAATACGTCAAAACTCGTTAAAAGAAACGCTTCCATCTTCTTGCAAATCGCAACAGGACTGGTATCAGCCAAGCCTTCGTCACTAGGCCTTGCTGTGGCGCCTTCGTCACTAGGCCTTGCTGTGGCGCCTTCGTCACTAGGCCTTGCTGTGGCGCCTTCGTCACTAGGCCTTGCTGTGTCGGAGGGCAGCGTTAACGGAACGCGAGGACTAACTGAACCGCTTACAAAGAATACGATGAAGTCTGTAGAGGCATGCACCGCATTGTTCAACGAAAACTAAATGAAAGACAGCATCGTGCTCCATTGATTGGGTGTTTCAGCACAAACACTCCAAAGCATACCACCAATAACGCGATTCACGCGTTCTGTTTAACCATCGGTCTGCGGATGGTCCGCCGCGGAAATGTCCAGTCGAGTGCTCAGCACTTTAAAGACTGACGTCCAAAACTTTCCCGTAAAACGAGGGTCTTTATCCAAGACGATTGCCACAGGCAATCCGTGTTGTCGAAACACACAATCCATAAACAGCTTTGCTGTTCCTTCTCCATCAATGGAGTCCGGCACTGCCGCTAAATGAGCCATCTTGCTCAGTCGGTCAACAACGACCAGAATCCCAGTGTTGCCTGCCGCATCACGCGTTAGGCAAACACAAAGTTCATCCTGATGGACTGCCACAACCCCGAGGGTACAGGCAAACTCGCCAAAGGCGCAGCCATATTAGGCGAGGGCTTCACCCTTTGACATGTTTTACACGTGCGTACGTATGTAACAACCCATTTGTACAACTTGGATCACCAATAATGTGTGCTCACCGATCTGTAGGACTTTTCACGACCTAAATGAACACCGAGTGGTGTATCATGGGCCTCATAAAGTATTCGATACTTGAGGTCCTCATCATGAGGCACCACAACGCGAGGCTGGTCATCCGACCCTGTACTATAGTACAACAGCCCATCGATCAGTGCATAACGATGTAATCTCGCACACATTACGTGTTGACAGCTTCACCTTAAAGTTTTCAAACTCTGCGCTACCCAGCGCCTGCACAATGGCAACACATGCCTCATCGCGTGCATACGTCACACGGATACGATCCGTTACTGACGAGCTCACAACAGTCAGATGAGCAAGCTCATAGTCTGGTCTACGCGATAACACGTCAGCCAAAACATTCTGTTTTCCCGGCTTATACTTCACCTCAAAGTTATACTCCGCAAGAAAAGATAGCCAACGCGCCATTCTCTGCAAGAGATGAGGCGAATGTATCGCTGTGCGTAACGACGCATGATCGGTATAGATCACAAGCGACTTTAAGTTAAACAGGTGTACCCTGAACTTAACAAGGGCATGCTTCATGGCAAGTAGCTCCTTATCATGAACTGGATAGTACTTCTATGCAGCTTTCAGCTGACGAGACTCAAAAGCGATGACGCGTTCGCGATCCTCAGCGTCAACTTGCAAGAGTGCACTGCCAATGGCAAAGTCTAAGATTCACACGACGCTAAACGTACGATCAGGATCAGGCAAAGCAAGAGTTGGCGCCTGAAGGAGACAATCTTTAATGGCTTCAAAATCCTCGTGGTGCTCGGTGTTCCAACACCATTCCACATCTTTTTTAAGGAGATTCGACAATGGCCTAGTCACTTCTACATAGTTGTGTCTATACTCATTCAAGTGTTTTGCCAAACCCAACCACTTACTTAGGTCCTCCTGGTTCCTTGGAAACGGCCAATTCACAATGGCTGTGACCTTGACAAGGTTTGCCCGGATTCCTCGCTTCCCAATGAAACATCCCAAAGAGGAATCTCTTCCGCAACGAAAATGCATTTGTCCATATTTTCAAGTACCTTTTGCATCCCGCCCCAAGCGGTTACAGCTCACAGGTGTAAAATGTGTGCATATGTGAAAAAATATCCCAAGGAAAGAATGGGCACACAAGATAACGCGATTGGAAATTTATCAAAGTTTGGAAGTTACTCTATGGTTCATGTTGCTT